CCTGGCTGGCAGCACGTTTGCCAAGGGAGGGGAGGGGCAAACCTGGGTCCTCTGCAGCCTCCCTTCCCCGATGCCCCACTTTGTTTTCCCATCTCTCACTTGCTGGTCCTCCCGGACAGGGGCTGTTCAGTGGGAAGGGTCTTTCCTCTCCCTCACACAGGTTGTAGGTAGTATTCCTATTTCCAGACAACACTATGAGGTTCCAAGTTCTGTTCCCAGACTCTGTATCTCCCTGCCTAGGCCCCTGACATTGAAGCTTCCCTCTGGCCCTGTGGAGTCGTTGGGCCTACGAAGGGACTGGTCCTTGGCCTTGTATTCATTCTCTGGTTCAACACTGTTTAGTTCCTATTGTATACTTTCTTGGCTCATGGTGGATCTGGGGACTCAGAAAAGAGAGATGGGACCTAAGGAGCAGCTGTCCAAACAATGTGGTGGTACAAGCTGTGACTGGGACGTCTTTGGAGCCTGGACGTGTGCCTCCCAGGTCTGGGGAGATCTCCTGAGAGGCCTTCCCTGCAGCTGAAGTAGCTCCCACCCAAAGGTCAGGGCTCATCACACCCTGTTTTGTTTGTTGTTTGTTTTGCATGCTTGTTTTTGTTTGCAAGCCCCCGCTGATGGGTTCCTCACCCGAATGCCTGTGGCGCCAGCCCAGCTCTCGGGGGTAGTAAGAGAACACAACTCATGGAGCCTATGGTCTAGGAGCTGGTGTTGGGAGAGACAGGTGACCAGAGTGAGTAAGTGACCGGAATGTGAGCCCCTACACTGTGGAGGGAAAGAAAGCAGGGGGTGGGAGGTGGAGGTGAGAAACAGAAACAGTCAGAGGCACCGTCAGCTGGAAGGAGAGCTGGGGGGCTGTGCAGGTCTCTGGGGGAGGAGCGTTTTAGGAAGGAGACACATTACAGACACGGGCCGTGAGGTCAGATGTGCCTGGTACGAGGGAGGATGCTCATGCTGATGAGGGAAACAGAGGTCAGCGAGGGGCTGGGAGAGGCGGTGGAGGCCTCCGGAGGCCATGTGAAGATGGCGCGCTGGCAGGATCAAGCCATAGAGAGACAATGGATGAATTTGAGCAAGAGAGCTTGGAGTCTGTCCATTTCCTAACTCCTCTATGGCTGCTGTGCTGTCTATCTGTCCATTTCACAACTCCCCTATGGCTGCTGTGCTGTCTGTCTGTCCATTTCCTAACTCCCCTACGGCTGCTGTGCTGTCTGTC